CCGTTGCTGTGGCTGGTGGAGCTGGGGGTCCTGGGCAAACGAGCAGCTGCTCTCGAGGTGCATTACGTGGGACTGTGGTCCCTCTGGTGAGGATGGCCACGGGTCCTACATCCCTGCATGGTGCTGGGACAGGACCTTCCTGCCCCCCCTCCAGAGGGATCTTTGTGTCCCTGGTGCTGCCCCAGGCCGGATTCAGGCACACAGCTGGATACATGACTGGTGCCATCCACGGCATCGTCCAGCCAGAGGGGCTCAGGATGGTCCTGCTGGTAATGGGTTTGGGAGTGTGGGCTGCTCTTCCCCTGCGGCCGGGGCTTTTTGGAGGGGATTGCACAGTTCTGCTCTCGCTCTGACTGTCCTGACCTTCCCGTCACTCCACAGCCCTGGGGGCTTCTGTTGTGCCCCAGCCAACCTGACACCCACCGAGGTTCAGGTGCCCCCACACAGGGTCCCCAAATCCCTTCCCAAAGTAGGAACACTGCTCCCCTGTGCAAACGAATTGAGCCCTGTCCGCCAGTACAGCCCCCCTGCCCTGGGACCAACTCACCACATCCCCCTGCTCTTCCATCGCTCTCAGGCTGGGGACAGCCAAAGCCCCTTGAGACCGTGGCCCAGCTGGGTCTCTGCATGTCTCCACATGCCAGCCACACACTCCCATGGTGAGTCCTGGCCAGTGCCCCTGGCTCCCGCACACCCCCAGGGTGGGGGGCTGGCAGCGGCATGGCGTGGGGACCCTGCTTTCCTCTGCTCCCACGACAGGCGTGAGTGGGGAACAACGGGGGAACTGGCTTCCCCTTTGAGTCACGCGTTGGGCAAGGACGGGCTTTTGGTGGCCAGAGCACTGCGGTGAGCCCCGCATGTGCGCAGAAGGCTGATGTCACCCTGGACTCTCTGTCCCCGATATAAGTCCTGGCTGGGCTGGTGCATCGGAACAGGGTCTTCGCAGCGGCCAGACGTCCCACAGCCATGTCCTCTGCTCCAGCCTCCAGGTCCCGGCACCATCCTCAAGGCACGTCGTGGACGGCGTGGCTCTGCCTCCTGCTCCTGCTAACTGCTTGTGTGCCCACGGCCGGCACCAACCCCGGCATCAAGGCCCGGCTCACCCGGAGGGCACTGGAATTCGGTAGGTCTCGCACCCCTGACCACCCGTGGGGGAACTGGGCAGGGGGTGGAGGGGTACCATGCCCAGACTGCCTGGGATGGGGGATGGAGGGGTGTCTTGGACCTGGCTGCTTGCCCCACCAGCACCCCAACCCCTTTCCTGGTGCCCTCCCCTAAATCCCTGCTCTGTCCCAGGCCGGCAGTTTGGGCTGGAGATGCTCCAGTCGCTGCTGCAGAAGGAGCACAAGCTGAACCTGACCGGCTCCTACTACAGCCCACTCCTGGGGACACTCACCTACACCGTGCCCCGGTAAGAGCTGCCCGTGGGGTCCCCATCCCCATCCCCATCCCCATCCCCATCCCCATCCCCATCCCGGCCATGCCCTGGGTGCAGCTGTGAGCACAGGCTGCCTGTGTTGTGCAGGATCCACATCCACGAGCTGCAGATAAATGATTCCACCGTGGACTTCGCTGAGGATGTGGGGGTGAAGCTGATGGTGCAGCACACTCGTGTCCGGCTCAGCGCCGACTGGGGAGCCCAGCTGGGCGCCATGTGAGTCCTCACTTATATGGGGCACAGGGATGGGGACCTGGGTGGCTTAGGGTGGTTTGGGGCCACCATCATCCCTGTGCTCACCCACTCTGCCTTCAGCCAGGACAGGGGCTCCATCGAAATCCGCATGCGTGACCTGGCCGTGGCGGCAGTGCTGGAGGAGAGCGTGGATGGCAGCGGCCGCCCCGTGGTGTGGAGCGCTGGCTGCGATGCCCGTGGCACCGACCTGCACTTGGAGTTTCACCGTGGACACAGGTGATGCCAGAACCCCCGTCCCCCTCCATGGGAACTCCCCAGTGCACCAAACTGGGGTGTTGGGCTGGGGGAGGCTGGAGCACCCCATGGTGACCTGAGGATGCTGTTCTGCCCCACAGCTGGCTCTACAACTTGCTAGCACCGCTGTTCCAGAGAGCCCTGCGGCAGGATCTGAACAAGCAGGTGGGTGCTCGGCCCCTGCGCCGTGGGGAGCTGGTGTCCCTGTCCCCCCAAGTGAGCAGCTTGGAGACCCCTGTCTGTGGGCTCACTGACACCCTGCTCTGCTTCCAGCTTTGCCTCGAGCTCCGCAGGGGTGTCGGCAGGCTGGAGGCTGCCCTGAAGCATGTGAAAGGTGGGTGAGGGGACGCCGGGGACCAGGGCTGGGGGGTGCTCGGCCCCTGCGCCGTGGGGAGCTGGTGTCCCTGTCCCCCCAAGTGAGCAGCTTGGAGACCCCTGTCTGTGGGCTCACTGACACCCTGCTCTGCTTCCAGCTTTGCCTCGAGCTCCGCAGGGGTGTCGGCAGGCTGGAGGCTGCCCTGAAGCATGTGAAAGGTGGGTGAGGGGACGCCGGGGACCAGGGCTGGGGCAGGAGGGGACTGGGGAGGGTGGCCCAGGTGATGCTGTGTGTGGGGCTGGTGCCTGGTGGGGCCTGAGGGATTGAAGGCTGCAGGAGGGGGTGGGTGGTTTGGCTCCCCCCAACCGCCCCCGTGT